TTGCGATCTATGTTCAGCTGACCGAACAACTTACTCAAAGGATGACTAGAGCTTCACTACTGGAAGATCGAAGGAATACAAATCTGGAAACATACCTCAGAAGCAAACAACAAACACTCTGCAAGATCAAGGGGTTATGGTTTTGGAACCAGACCTTGGAAGAAAGGTTGTGGGTTCCCCACTGATGTCTGATGATAGTTGTCCTTTGTTCCAGTGGTCTGAATTAGATCGAGACATGGGTATATGGAGACAATCTACTATGTTTAAAAGTTTCTTTTATGTACTAAAAATTATTTTTTTGATGTATCTAATGCAATCCTAGGTGGTTATTAGCCACAATCAGGTGTCGGTTGAGTTTTCTCTCAAGGTGTGGCTTAGGCAACCTCAGCTCAGGCACAAAGTAGGGGGCAGAGGTCAATACCTTGTCATTCCTCTAGAAGTCATTAAAAGGAGAGCTATCAGGCCACATTTGGATGCTGAGGTGAAAATGCTCCAGAGGCACTTGGAGAAGCAAACGGTTCTTCGTGTGAAGTTGACCGATGTTTAGTCAACCTGCCCCATTTTGCAAGTTCAAGCCCATGGAAATAGTATAGATATGTTTAGGTTTGGGGGACTTATGTTGTACCGTAATATGTTTTGGAGGAGGGTTTTCTTGGCCAAAGAGGTTGAGGACCTGCTTATTAAATAATTTTTAGCTAAATAAAGATAAGTTTTTTTATTAATCTTCACAAAAATTTAATTTTTACATGTTCTTTTCCCTAGAATTTTGTGTTGATATGATTTAGGTTTTTGAAATTGAGATGTGGTTCTTTCATAGGTTTTAACTTCCTTTGGAACTCTATATATATGGGTTGAGGGTTGGATTCTTCTAAGCATTCAGTCTCTTTTCTTCCTTTAAGCTGGTTCTCCTTCTTTCGCTCCTCTAGCCTTTGCTCAAATGGTCAACAAGTATTTGCCCAAATTCTTCAAGGTGCTCTCCACGACTGAGTAGTCCACCCTAACTTTGTTCAACTCTTCTTTGCTCATGTAGGCATGTGTTTTTTATTTTGAAATTCACCTACACATTGTTGGCTTTGATGATCGGGCAAATGAAGAGTTTAGTAATGAATTAAACCTTTATTAAGACCAATTCTTACGGGGCCTCTATTTGCATCTTTCTTAAGGAGCTTCAATTTATCATGAACCACTGTGGAGTGATCCCTGCCCAAATCAAGCCAATCTCGATTGCAACTATCATGGCATATGTGTTCTATTGTTGGTGGAGGGAGATTCCTTGCTCATCGAAACTCTTATCCTACAAGTTATCTTTTTGAGTGGAGCCAGATTGATATGTTGTCCTTAGGTTGACCCAAAAATTTTACTTGGTCATCCTTCAGAACAAGATAAAATATTTGAAGTTTCAGTTTGTTCTTGGGTTAGCCAAAGACCCGGGGATTCCGACTCGCCAGATCAGAGAGGTATTTAAGAAGACAAAATTTGTGCCTCTCGGGATTTGAGGCCTAGCTTCACCAATCAAAGAAAAGCAGTTGTTTGTAATTAAGTACATCGTCGGGGTGGCCATGAATAAATTTTTTAACCTAGAAAAGTTTAGATCCATGACTCTGAAGCTTTGGGAGACAATGGATTCCGTTGAGGAGAAGAGGTGAAGGAAAAAAGTTTCACAACCTGCACCAGAAGGCAGCCCAACTGAAGATTGCTGAAGTGGTAAAGAAAGAGGTGGTGACCACCAGGATGGCACTGAGATCCTATGTTTGGTCTATAATCACTCTGCTTATAAAACTATCTCAGTATTTCAAAGGGTCTCCACTGAGTAGCTAATTCTAATTTAACAAAAATCAACCTTGATGAGTATAGGTTCTTCGGGGGCTAGTGAAAAAGAAGGAGAACAAAATCTGAGCTACTAAAGAAATGACACTGAATAATCATCGAATGAACAATCAAATAAAAATTTAGCAGCTATGAAACAGGCAGCCACTGCTAGCTTCATTGACCATGCCACAAAAGGTGAGGCTAGTTAGCCCTCCCCTAAGATTTCTACGAATGTTGAACCGGAATCTAAGATAACCACAATTGCCTAGTAGGCATCTCGAAGGGAAGAGGCTTGAGTAGAGCCTTAACCAGACTCTGATACTACTACTTTTGATGAAGACCACCACAGAAAAGGCAAAGCTCCAATGGGTGAGTTGGGCGGTGAACTCCCTCCACCTTCGGGGAAGAGATAGAGAGCTAGCTCTGGCAGCTGATGCACCATGCAAAAAAAGCAACCAAAGATCTTTGTTACTAAAGACTCTCACTTCGCTTTGATTGGCATGGAGAGGGATTAATGCCTAGTGACCCAAATGCCAAAAATTAATCCTCAACCATTATGGTCATTCTATGGCCCAAAAGCTTTGATAAGAAATTAGAAGGCTGGGACCCTCGAGACCTTTGTCAGGTGGTCAACAGCTATTAACGTTCTTAGTCTCATAGCCACATACCATCTGAATTTTCACTACCTTAATACTAAGGAGGCAAAATAAAAGGTAGAAAAGATGATCAAGATTGCAAGGGTCCAAGAAATTGTGACTTAGAATTTAATGGTCGTGATAAAGGCTCAAGTTGTTGAAGTTGAGGAGGATTTGGAGAATGCGTCTGATTGGCTCTCTACAATTCAAGATGAGAAAAAAGTTTTATCTTAAAAGAAAGTCATGATGAAGTCAACGGAGGAGTTTGCCAACAATTAGGCCAAACACCTCCAACTTGGAACGAAACTAGTGATCGAACAGTTCATATGGGTCAAAATGCTCTATATGAAGTACTCCAACTTGGACTCTAACTTTGATAAATTCACTAAATTTTTCTCTGCCCCTTCAACCCTTATACCACTGACCAAATAAGTAGTGAGTATGAGGATAAGCATGTAGTGGATGACACCTCGCCTAATCCGTAATCAAGCTGCTCTGTTTTTTTTTCGAACACTTAAGATGAGCATTGATGATCCTCAGCAGGTCGTTAGTTGATTTAAATGAGGTAACATCATCTGTTGGATTAGTATGACCTTTGTAGGATTCGAGTAATGATATCTTAAAGTTCTCTTGGGGCTTAACAATTGAAATCTACCAAGAGAATGCATTCTTTGACTGGCGGGGGCCTCATTTTTCCCAAACTATTGCATGTTGTTGACCCATCAATATTCTGGTGCTGGGAGTCTCTTGCTCTTTATTTGAGTAAGTGTGCCCTGTGACCATTGGGTGTTGGTTCTTTATACAGGTGTTTTCCCTTCACCCAACTACTGCTTCTCTGATGGCTCTAACATTTGGTCCATTATTTGATCGTTCAACTCTTGGATTTGTTGCTGCATAAACTGTTAGGTGCACTTCATGTTCACTAAGTCTCTTAGGTATGTTTCTTCTCTATGTTGTGCTCCCCTTCTTGTTACTGGCATAATCTGAACCCACCACATCTTTTAGGACGTTGAATCTGAATCTTTCATGTAAATCACACCCAAAGAATAGAATGTAAAATAAGAGAGACATGGAGAGAGAGAGAGAGAGAGAGATAGAGAGAGTGCACAATAAAGAACTGGTTCTTTTATAACTAACTAATTAACCTCTTATTGTAAAATTGATCCCCTATTTATAAGCAAGAGAGTATAAAAGCATACAATTACATGTTTTTTCTTATTTTTTTACAGAAGCGTTATAAGGTTTTTAAGGTATAAATAATAAATGAGTCCATGGATCGGTTACCCTATCACTAGGACGGGTAAGGTTGGTATTCCTTGGGTCAGCAAGGTCCGTTCGACTGACTTTGTTTAGTTGGAGCTTTTAGTCGTCTCATATTGTCTTTCGGTTCTCCGGACTTCGCTTGGTCAACTTGATTCAACTAGTCAGTTGCCTTAGTCCGGTTGTGAACTATTGACCCCTAGATGAGAAGTTCGTATCGTCGAGATGAAACTAGGTCGTTAGGCTGAGGGTGGATCGCCTCTGACAGGTAGTCTACCACTTGACATGTAATCCATCGGAGTGTTCATGAAGTGTGTAGTGATGAGAACCTTAGGAATCCCGAAGAATCTTGGCAACTTTTGTCAGGCGGTTGGCGATGTTGGTATGAAAGTTGGGTTGATGCTATCTCTTTACTCGATTTTCTTAATCTTTAGCCTAAGTGGCCATCATTTGCTAGCCCTCGAATCCTGCTCCAAGGGAGCTATTGTTTGTCAATCAGGCCTTTTAGTTTCCCATTGATGTGACTTTTGATCATCCTTTTATTGGTCATCCTTGACCGAAACATTGTCTCTTAATCCATTGAATTTCTTCAAGATTCATGCTGACACATTTCAAACATGCAATTAATATGATAAAAATTAAACATTTATTTCTTAATATATAAACGAATTTATCATTTGCTCTGAGAAAAATTACATTATTTTTCATAAATTAATATTCTATTTTAAATGTTTGACATATTTTCATGTAAAGTTATATCGAAAACTTTGAACTTATTATTATTATTATTATTAATATTTGGACATTAGTAAATATTAAAAAATTCATAATTGACCAGATTAAGTTTAAAAATGTTTTGAAACAATCTAGATCACATTTTGGTGAATATTGAATTGGGGTAAACTATTTTGATTAAAATATAGTTTAGAAGAATTTTTAAAACCAAAGACTTATTTTAAGATCCATCACATATAATTCCATAAATTTTTTTCAGGATGTACACATAATTTTCTTTTATAGTTTTTTCAGTTCTTTTTTTTTTTTTGGAGAAAAAAAAGATGAAAATATGATAATATTTAAACTAGAATTTGATTAAAATAACTTTCTAAAACAATATATATAAAGAAAAAAAAGTTGATTATTTTCTTAAACAATACTAATAGCAAATTTAATAAATTTACCACTTTTGAATCTGATACTAACCCCCTTCTAATCCTCCAAACATATACAGGGCATCGAAGAGCCGGAACTCCATAAGCTCATGCCACAGAAGCAGCAGCAAAGCAGAGACGACCGATGACACTCGTGCCATGGCCAGCGCTCTTCCTCGTCTTCCTCTGCTCTCTCTTCCTCTCCTTCTTTGTCAAGCATCTTCCTCTCCTCAATACCCACAAACCATCGAAAGCTCCACTTCCTCCCTCCATCTCCATCCTTCCCATCCTCCTCCACCTCGTAACCCACCGCGGTTCCCTTCAAGGAATCACCGTCCTCCTCCGTCGCTATCACTCTCTCCACGGCCCCATCCTAAGCCTCCGTCTCCTTCCCTTCGCTCCCCCCACCATCTTCATCTCCAGCTCCGATCTCTCCCATACCGCTCTCTTCAAACACGCCGATTCCTTCTCCAACCGCCCCCCACCTGTCGAGCCCACCATCTTCCTCACCGGCGGCAACAACGATATCTCCTCTTCTAATCACGGCTCCCTATGGAGCATCCTCCGCCGCAACCTCTCTTCCGAAATTCTCCACTCCTCCAGTCTCCGTAACTTCGCCCAGGCACGAAGCTGGGCCGTCCAGCTCCTTCTCGAAAAGCTCCATTCCTTTGCCGGCCGGGAGGAGTTCATCCCAAAACAGAGTTTTCAACACGCCTTCCTCTCCATCCTCGCGCTCATGTGTTTCGGCCAAA